AATGAATATCATGACTCGGTAGGTGGGGTGAGAGTTTGATTAGGCGGGGTAGGGGTACTGTTGGCGCCATTTCCCGTGCCGAAATATGGGAGGAGCGAAGGTGAGAGTGAGGCGAGGAGGAGGAGGAGGAGGAGGAGGAGGAGGAGAAGGATGAGGAGGATGAGAAGGATGAGGAGGAGGAGCTGTAGAAGCAGCAGGATCAGCAGGCGTTAGTGTGAAATCCACCGAATGTGCTAGAGCAGACGCTGAAGGAACGGACGTGGTAAGTGGGCTGGTCGTAGAAAGTAGGGTCAGGATGTGAAGGTGTATGTGGGGGCGGGCGGGGCGGGGGGGGGGAGGCAGAGTACGGAAAAACATATTTCTGAAATTTGCTGACCATGAGATGCTCAGATGTATCATCGTATCATAGTTTGCTGAACCAAGTGAGCACGGTGCAATGAAGAGGAAAGGAGTGATTTGTCCTTGCTGTTCGGAGCATGTCTTGGAGCGATTTGACGCAGATGAAGTTAGTGGATGGTTATGTCCAAATTTCAAGTCGTATGAGCGTGGGAAATCATGCCATGTATTGGTGACACAAAAGGAATACCAAGAGCTCTTGGCCGAGGCAGAACCCAACGACGATGAACCAAAGGAGCTTCTTTCAGATCAGAAGAAGAGAAAAACGGATACAAGTGCATCTCTGGATGAAACTTTTGATCCAGAATCTGAGAGCACAGAAATGGAGGAGAACGAGGAGGCGTTTGATGAGCTGCCAGCTCAAAATGTAGATGTGCGGTTGGTAAGTGATTGCCTCCAAGTGACAAGACAACCTGCTTGTGGCCTGTTGTCTCTCAATGAGGTAGACCACATCTTGAAAGGAGCCTTCGTCGCTCCCCGAGGCGAGTTCATCTCATACCTTGACTGAGCATGAAGGGTTGGGGTGACTTGATTGCAGGATCTGACAGCAGGCAGCTTCGAGGAATTTCGAGGTATGATAACAAGACCACGTGTTTGAAGACCATCTGATAGGACTCGCAGAGATGAAGGAGCCCCTGACAACCGCAAGAAACGCATGGGCGTCAGACTTCCCTTCAGTGCCTTCAACATCAAGCCGGGAGAGAACACCCTGCGCATCCCAGTCAAAGTGATGGATGCAGGACAAGAGTTGACCTTCTGATTGCTGCTGTAGGTGGATCAGGAACCGCAACGCCCCACACAGATGACCGGTAGAAACATGTCCTCGAGGTCATTGGTTCTTATGGCTTCACTGCAGAGGATGAGTTGGCACTGGAACCCCTTGTCCTGTGGGATTCCAATGGCGACGTCAATTCAGCTGAGGTGGTACGATCGCATTGTTTCTTGTCACTGTGACATTCAGTGAAGAATCAACAGCAAATTCCGCAAGCAACACCTGAAAGTGGAGCAGCAGTGGAGTACGAACATGCATTTGTTAAAAAGGCAAAGATGTCTCTGGATTTGTATAGGAAAGCAAAGGTACCATCCCATCTGATCCTGAACAACCTGACGCGTATATAAGAACCTTCAACCCAATTGTGTTGTGGTGGAGCCATTTTTGTGCAGGTTACTATGTGTTGTTATTTGAAGCAAGTTGTCTCAGCTGCATCAGGTTTTTGCGCGAGCATCAGCGTCAAGGAGTTCAGTTCATGTTTGAATGCGTTACTGGCCTGGTTAATTTTTCTGTGTTTAGACTCGAAAATGCAGCTGACAAATTCGAACTAGAGAAACTTTGGGGGGTATGGCTGTGTGTTGGCAGATGATATGGGTCTTGGGAAAACCTTTCAGGTGCATATTCTCGCTGGATCCTTCCTTTTTGACAATCATGCAGAGCGTGACATTGCTTTGGACACTTTTGACGCAGGGTATTGAAGGAAAACCGACGATCACACGAGTATCTGCTTGTTCTCATTGTCGTGCCGCGACTGAATCTGTATTCAGGCCGCTGTCATCTGCCCAACAAGTCTAGTCAAGGTTTTGACGGATCCTTTTCTGCATCAGATTTCTAACCTTGATCTTGTTCAGAACTGGGCCAATGAAATTACAAAGTGGTTGGGTGATCGACTAGATGTATCGTCTATTTGCCTTGTAATTCCAATGTCCTTACGTTTCATGGATGCAAGGGAGGTGTTTTAGCCTTGAGCGAGAGCGCTCGTGAAGACGTGATCGACGCTATCAATCGCTATACGCGCAAAGGAATTTACCAACGTGAACGAAAGTGTGTCATTTGCTATGGTAAGGCTAGTACTCAGTGGATAATCGCAGATTTCCACCTGTCTTGATTATCAGCTACGAAACATTCCGCATCCATGCAGGTAGGTTTCATTGTCATACTTCGTTGACTTTACATGACTCTCATGCAGAGCGATTTGCTGCAAATGGACCAGAGTTGATAATCTGCGATGAGGCAAACAACAATTTTGACTGTGGGTTGATCTCGACTTATTTGTCTGTTTTTAACGTAACAGGCTCATCGTCTAAAGAACGACAAAACGATCACTAACAAGGTGGGCAGTAGTGCAGTCCTTGTTTCACTCATTGTCTATTGCAAGGCTTTGGCTTCCCTTCCCTGCCTTCGCAGGGTTTTACTTTCGGGAACTCCAATGCAGGTAAGGTCTCCTTCGCTGCTATCCCGGAGGATTGATGTGGCTGCAGAATGATTTGGAAGAATTTTTCGCAATGGTTGATTTCACAAATCCTGGTGTGGAAAAGGAGTGTTGGAAGGTGCCGTTTTCTCACATACATGGTTTAGGTGTGCTAGGGACTGCTGCACAATTCAGAAAGATGTATCAGTCGCCTATTCTTACGGGTCAATCCGTCCAAACGATTTCGCACCTTCATCTGACGGCAACATCCGCAGGACGCGAGCCGGATGCTACTGAGTCTCAGCGAGAGAAAGGTATCTACAACAAAACTGATCGAGGTGTCAGAGTTGAGTTGATCTACTTGTGTAGGCAACGAGGCCCAGGGAGCTCTATCCAACCTTGTCAACATCTTCATACTGCGACGAACAAACGAGGTAGGACTCTTGTGTCTGTGTTGCATTCACTGATGAACATCACTCTCCAGCTTTTATCGAAGCATCTTCCTCCAAAAGTTGTGCAGCTGGTCTGTTGTAAACTTTCTCCCTTGCAAATTCAGTTGTACAGGTTCGAGCGTATTTATCCAAATCGGGCAATTTGACTTTTTTTGGCACAGAGCCATCAGTAGCTCAAAGGATGTGATGCGCATGTGTAAAGGAACAGGAAAGACTACAAAACAGGTTGGCGGCTTAAACGTTTGTTGTATTCCCTGAAATCCATGTCTAGGTTCTCGCCTGTATTACTTCTCTGAAGAAATTATGCAACCACCCAAAGCTTATTTTCGATGTCATTCGAGCAGCACAAAGTATGCCTGCACTCTCCAGTTACATCGTCTCTGAGCTTTCCGTCAGACTCGGGCAGTCATGATGCTGCTGGACTGGAGGTAAACGCACGTTGCCGTTGAGGTTTCATGCATGACCTATGGTTGACAAGAACTGCATTGGTCTGTTTCCTGCCGAGTTTTACATGTCAAGAGCTGGCCAGAGTCTCCCAATGTCCGAGTAAGAGCATACGTGTAAGCACTCACCAACTCTCTGGTGACCACTGTGCAGGTTTTCCGGGAAACTGGCTGTCCTCGAGCGAATGTTGCACATCCTGTACCATGAGAAGAAAGAAAGGATTGTTCTCATATCAAACTACACCCAGGTGAGAGATCAGGATAGTCACAAGTGTGTTGAGAGCATGTCAGACTCTGGATCTATTTCAAAACATTTGTCGAACATGCAACTATCCCTTTGTGCGATTGGATGGTACAACGTCCGTCAAGAAACGACAAAAACTGGTGAAGTCGCTCCCAAGGCTCACTGATGCGCTGAACGCATTCCTACAGGTGGATGTCTTCAACGACCCTACCCAGCATCAGTTCGCCTTCCTGTTGAGCAGCAAGGCTGGTGAGCAGCCGGTCTCCATGTGTTCCTCCTGATCCAACATGCAGGCGGCTGCGGCTTGAACCTCGTTGGAGCTTCCCGACTTGTCCTGTTCGACCCTGACTGGAACCCAGCCAACGACAAACAAGTCTCGCCCTCATCGTTCTTGTGCGCAACTCAAATCTGCGCAGGCGGCCGCGCGAATCTGGCGAGACGGGCAGAAGAGAAGGTGCTGACGCCGGTGGTCGACGAGCTTTCTGACTGGTTTGCAGAGTGTTCGAGTACAGATTCTTCTCCACTGGAACGATAGAGGAGAAGGCAAGGAAACGCGCAGACTGCCGGGGAAGTGAAACTTTCTTCACTCAGGTGTATCAGCGTCAGTTGTCCAAGGAAGGCTTGCAGGTGCTTCGCTTGAGAGCATTGCGACACGCACAGCACTGACCAGTCGCAGGGAGGTCTCTTCGAGTCCGAGCTTCAGGTCACGCCCTGCCAGCACCTGCTGCTCGCCCGCTGACGACCAACAAGATGCAAAGCGTCTCCACAGAAGACCTCCGAGATCTCTTCACTCTGAGGTCTTTCTGCTCCGGGGGTCCACGGGACTGTGACAGCCATGGCACAGGACCGACACAGTCTCCGACACCTTCGACTCGCTCACGCTTCAGGCTCCCATGCGCGCTGAGCAGGTCAAGAGCAGGGAGCAGGTTTGGTACTGAGACAGGAACAGGATGGGTTCCCCTCCATGGAGGACCTCCACCTCTGGGGCCACCATGACTCTCCCGATACAGTAACTGCCTGTGAACAGAGGGAGGTGCGAGTAACCTGACCCTGCCGCCTTGTAGGTCGTGGACGACGTACTCCAGAGGGCCTGGGAGGGAGTGATATCCTTTGTCTTCAGGTACCAGCGACTGTTTCCCTCCTCCTTCTCCTCCTCGTCCTCCTCACCCGTTGCCGGCAGCTGCAAAGTTGAAGGCAATCCGGACAAGCTGACGATCGGATCTTGAGCTCCTCTACCCTGCCTCTCCTCCTGCTCCTCCTCTTGCTCCTCCTCTTGCTCCTCCTCCTGCGTCTCCTCCCGCCTCTTTCTCTCTCCTCTTCTTCATCTCCCCCTTCCATCCCTCAACTCTACTCCCACGCTTTTCCCTCTTTTGCCTTATCCTTCCTGTAGTTTTCTGTCGTCTCAGTGTAGAATCTTGATAGCAAAATGTTCCTTTCTTGCTGCAATGAAATGTTTCAACCCTCCTCCCCTCTTCCTCTCTACCCGTTTGTAACCTTGATCCTCTCCCCTCCCGTCTCGTCCCTCCCCTCCCCTCCCTCCCCCGTTCCATCTGCTCCCGTGGACCATCAAATTAAATGTTCACTTGCGCCCCGTCCCAAACAGGATTCCCTGCCCTACCCCCGTCAACCTCCTCCCTGCCACCCCCCTTGCATCCCCCCCCCCCCCCCCTCCCTCCCGCTGTCACCACCATCATCTCTCTGCCCCTTCCTCCTCCGCCTGCCTCGTCCGCATCTCTACCTGCCGCATCCCTTCCTCCCTCTTCGCCTCCCTCAGCCTCCCTCCCTCGCATGTCTGCGGTGAGCAGAGCTCAGCATGACTTGCTGACACTCTTTCTCCTGGTGCTCACCAGCGTGACGGGAGCAGGAGGGAACGGAGTGTTGAGGCAACTACAGCTCCGAGGAGGAGGAGTCGACGCCTGCCTGCATGGCGACCTTGAGCATGACAGACTGTCCAAGTCACAGGCGGCGGCGAGCAGGAGGGTCATGGTGGAGGAGAGCGAATGGGAGGACACTATGAGGCAGAGGATCAAGTCTTTCACAGAGAGCGTCCGATCCCTCGCTGAGGAGGAAGCAGTTTCCCTTCAAGCACCAGAAACTTCACTCGTCCCCCTGCCGCTAAGTCGCCAGGCCTCAGGCATGCAGCACCCCAGGAGGTTGCCCGGCCCCCCAGCAACAACAGCAAGACGAGCCCGCAGGTTCAGAGTCAGCACAATTCCTCCATCAAGGTTGCCGAGAGCAACAGGAGCAAGCAAGCAGCTAGCGGGAGTGAGAAGCCCGAGGACCCTTATGCTGGCTACGAGACGATGGAGCTGGAGAGCTCGGAAGAGGTCAGTGCCCTGCTCACCGTAAGACGATGACGAGTTGGTGAAGGATCGCCCCATGTTTCAAGAGCCGTCGAGAGTCACGAGGAGAAAGCTCCAGGTAACTGACTTGCTCAGTCTTGTTGTCCTTGAGCATGATGCCAGGAAAAACGTAAACAGAAGCATCTCTCCGTATCCCTTCCTCTTCCTCTTCCTCTTCCTCTTCCTCTTCCTCTTCCTCTTCCTCTTCCTCTTCCTCTTCCTCTTCCTCTTCCTCTTCCTCTTCCTCTTCCTCTTCCTCCCTCCCCCGCCTCCCCTTCCTCTCCTCCTCCTCCCATCTTTGGCCCTCTCTTCTCTTTTACTCTCTCCCCCTCTCCATCCTCTCCTCTTTGCTCTGCTTTCCTTGACTTCGTTTCATTGCTTATCCTCCCTTCTCGCCTTTTTTCGTTTCCACATTGACATTTCGCTCAGTCGATTTTGCAAACAAAGTGAAAGACGTGGTGAGTTTATCACATAGCATGCGATGGAAGGTAACAGTGCAAATGTCAGTCACCTTTCAAGCGGAATTTCGTGATGGAGTTGAACAACGTGAGCATTGTTGAGAGCGTTCAACCTGTTTGATCGATCATTACCAGGAATTTAACAAACTGAAGATCCGTACAAAGTGACACTCGATCGCGATAGGAATGCCACATGAGTCACTGAACCACCCCGTGCAGACATGCTACCAACATCTCGAGCGAAGACTTGATGGCAGTCAGTTTGATCGAGGCTGTTCGGTGAGTCTCTTCCTGCCGATGTTGCATGTGCTGCTGACACAATGAAGAAACAACAACACAGAAAGCGTTCTGCGAGCCATTTCCGAGGGAGCCAACGTAAATCCTGCCCATTATGATTGTTCAATCATCAAAACCACATCCTCCCCCTACTCCTCTCCCTCCCTCTACTCCTTTCCCTCCTCCCCGCCACCTCCTCTTCTTTCCTCTTCCTTCTTCCCCTTCCCCCTACCCCTCGCCCTCATCTCTTCCTCTTCAACCTGACATGTTCCATCAGGTCGATCACGCAGGGCTCGCACAGACTCTAGCGCAGAAGTCGCGCATGATGAACGTCAGAGTCAGGCTGCATGGCGCCGCTTCTCCTCTCCATCACGCTGCTTCCTTGGGCCTGACTGAGGTTTTCTTTCCTGCCAAGATCTAGCTGCTCTCCTGAGCCCTGCTGTCAAGATCATGCAGATCTTGCTCGAGCATGGAGCGAGTGTTCACATCAACAACACGTTCGGGGTGAAGCTTCCTGCCATGATGTCCTCCTCTCTCTCTTTTGCTGCCTCCCCCATCGTTTCTCTCTTTCTCTCCTCCTGTTCTCCTCCTTGGTTGCTCTCCTGTTGTATCTTCTTTGCCTCCTCCTCCTCCTCCTCCTCCTCCTCCTCCTCCTCCTCCTCCTCAACTTCTCACGGCTGCATCTCTCAGGCTCCTCCTCTGCACTACGCAGCGTACTGGAACAACATTAACGTGAGGCTCCTCCTGCCTCCTGCCTCCTCCTGCCTCCTCCTCCTCCTGCCTCCTCCTCCTCCTCCTCCTCCTTCTCCTCCTCCTCCTCCTCCTCCTCCTCCTCCTCCTCCTCCTCTCACCCTCTTGCAAGGCTGTGCATCTCCTCATGGAGGCCGGAGCGGATGTGAACGCGGCCAACGAGTGCTGCTGGACGGCTCTGCACCATTCAGCGCTCTCTCGCAGCCCGGTGAGGAGAGGAGGTTCGAGGGCTCGCGGTGACGGCGTGCAGGCCATGATGGAGCTGCTGCTGGCGTACGGGGGAGACCCTGGGAGGAAGACGGACGACGGGCACACAGTCTGGGACATGTCGAGGGACAGGCGAGGGTGACGGGTCGTGACTGGAGCCCTGACTCTTTTGCTGCAGATCTCATGTTGGGATGATGGACGCGCTCCGGCGATATGGATGGAGAGAGGAGGAGGAAGTGTTGGTGCTGGACGAGCCTGAGTGGTTGGGATGTACTCGATGACTTTGATTATGACTGTAACTTCAACGGTAGTACTAACGGTAAATGCCATACGCTCATCACGTGACCCCGTCCTGTGTGAACATTCACGGTTCGGCCGCAGGCCAGCTGGGCCCGGGCCGATCAACGGCTGACAGTGACTCCGGCGACCGTCGGACTCGGGACCCGGACTCTACTGAGTGCCACTGGGCCGGGCCCGGCAGCGGCCGGGCCGCCGGGCCCGGGGGGCACCGGCAGTGTGTGACTCGCGGCTGAGTCACAAGTTCAAGCTTTTTGAAACGGATTTGTAACGGTCTATGGATACATTCTGCTGGAACGATGCAAGGATGCGCTGGCTGCTGTTTCTGATGCTCGCGAGAACAACCCAAGTGAGTGAGAGAGGAGGGAGGGGAAGAGGGGAGGCGAAGAGAGGAGAGGAAGAGAGGAGGCAAAGAGAGGAGAGGAAGAGAGGAGGGAGGAGAAGAGGCAAAGAGAGGAGGCGAAGAGAGGAGGCGAAGAGAGGAGGCGGAGAGAGGAGGGGGGAGAAGAGGCAAAGAGGGGAGAGGAAGAGAGGAGACGAAGAGAGGAGAGGAAGAGGGGAGGCGGAGAGAGGAGGCGGAGAGAGGAGGGAGAGGAAGAGGCAAAGGCGGGAGAGGAAGAGAGGAGGCGAAGAGAGGAGGGAGGAGAAGACGCAAAGAGAGGAGGTAGGGGAGGTGTCGCAAGAAGAGTAGAGGGAGACGTGGGGCGAGACGAGGGCGCGGGAAAAGCATGATACCATCAGGACAAAAGGAAGAGAGTTGACTGGAAAGGCCTGCTCTAGGCATTCGCTCCTGCCCTACGATCAATTCCCATCCATCTTGTTGCTAGCAAGTCATCGGTGACCCTTCGAGTGAGAAGCAAGAAGGCTGAGCATGCAACTGAGAGATTGTCACAGAGTGCCTTCAGAACCCGAGCGCTCTCCATGGCTGCCCCAGGTGCGTCTCAGCCTCTCGTGGCCGGTGCAGGCGCTTGACTGTATGACAGGACAAGACCTCTCCGAGCTCTTTGATGTCTACAAACCGCCGTCGTCGGTGAGAGGCTCCGGTCGCTCCCTTGCATACCTGCTGAGCTTGCTCGCTTCCACCCAGATCCCCGGCTTCCGAGGAGAACCGGAGAGGGCGGGGATCAGCAGGCAACGGAAGTTGGTGCACACGCAAGGAGACTGGCATCGGGCTATCCACATCTGGTTGTATGATGGGCAGGGGAACCTGATCATCCAGCAGAGGTGCCGCCATGGCGACTGCTCTCAGCGGCTTGACAGTGAGATCAACACCGTGCAGGTCGGAAGGAAAAGATACTTTCCCCGGGAAGTGGGACGTGAGCATAGCTGGTACGCGCGAGGAGAGGCCATGCCGCCAGTGGGTCTGATCGCCTGCAGGACACGTGTCTAGCGGGGACTCGGTGATCGAGACTGCGATGAAAGAAGTGAGGCTGAGGTGAAGTGCCATCGAGGTCACCCGTGCGACAGTCCAAGGAAGAGCTCGGGCTGGACATCAAGAAAGAAGAGCTGGTATGAGTCGTCTGCTCTCTTTGAACCTCCGACGAAGGTGATGGTAACATGCAGGAGTACCTTGGAACCATCGCCACCTCCATGGCAGGGTCCTCCCCCATCACCGGCGACTTCCTGTGAGTTTGTGCCTCCTCCTTCTCCTCCTCCTCTTCCCCTCTCCTCCTTATTCTCCTCGTCTTCCCCTCTCCTCCTCCTCTCGCTTACTCTCTTTGCCCTTCATTTTGTCGTGGTACAGGTGCAATGAGTACAAGGACATCTTCCTCCTCAAGTACGAGGGCCATCTGGACGACCTCAAGTTCGCGCCTGAGGAGGTCGGTGGTGGAAGGTAGCTGGGCAAGCGTGAGGGTCTGGCGCAGGTGCAAGCGGTGTCGCGGGTGGATTGGAGGAGCTTGCGGCAGCAGCTCGAGGAGCAGGCATGTCTTGTATCTGTTGGCCTGCTGTATCCTGATACCCCTCACAGATCGGCCCCGACGGTCAGAGTATAGACGGGCGCTACATCCCTCGGCCACGTCACTACATGGACCTCTTGTTTGGAGCTCTCGAGGAGAGGATAGGGAAGTAAGCGAGTGAGAGGGCGATGAAGTAAACTCTTGCTTTCTCTTTATCTCAACGCACACACCGGGGCGCTCACAGGGATGAAGGGACACATGACATGTCAAGGCAGGTACGATGTTGTTACCATTCACCTCTCAGCACTCAGCACTCAGCCAACAGCTGCTTCGCTGCTCCTACCGGGCTCTCGTCCTGCATCGCCTCGCTGCCGTCCCCGCACTTCATGTACCACTCGATCCACGCCCGGCTGATGGGCTCCCAGCCGGTCTTCTTGCGGCTGCCTGCAGGTGGCGAGATGGAGGATGCGGGAGGCTTGTGGCGCCTGGCGGCTCTCCGAGGGGAGGCAGTGGGGGTGGACCTCCTCTGGTAGGGCCACCGCCCGATGCCGAGCTTGCGACTGAGCTTCTTGAGGGCAGTGACGGAGATGCCAAGGGCGGCGCTGGCCTGGAGGAGGGGGAGGTGGAAGTGACTCTGGAGGGCAGGGAGGTCGAAGGCCTGAGGTCTCCTTCCCTTGTGAGGGAGGAGCTTGCGGCCAGACTTGCTTCGGGGGAAGAGGAAGACCTTGGTGGGGGAGGAGGAGAGGGCAGGAGGGGGTAGAGGGGCGGAAGGGGAGGGGAGGGACATGGAGTTCAGATAGTCAGAGAGAAAGGGGAGGAGGAGGACTTTACTGCTGCCTTCGGGAAACAGTTTATTCTGATTTCACTAGACGAAAAGAGATGATTTCAGTATCATATGCGCCCACATAAACTCATTGCTGACGAAAATAATTGATTTCAGTTAAATATGCGCCCACATTCCCGTGTAGTAAGCTTATTCTAATCAAAGTTGGCGATCCTTTCTTACAGAGAAGAGAAGATCCACAAAATCAATCGTGAATCTACTATATAAATACTCATGACGCGGATACATAGTTGCTCATCAACGCCATAAAAGGAAGAAGAGAGGGGCGGTAAAGGATGGGAGGGTGGGATGTTCGGAAAACGCACCAATAACGCCTTCAAGGATGAACACCGGCCAAACTCCTGCGTTGTCTGCTTTCCCAACTCACAGTCCAACATAGCGAGCACTTCGTCCAGCCAGTGTTAGTGTAACATGGGGTACAGTGCCCCGAACACCGCCTCCTGATGTGAACACTTGCAAGTGTGCCTGGGTCGGTGCCGGTAACTGTACTCGCTGCCCGAATGACACGGTCATCAACAACATACCCTCGGAGAGCATCTCGCAGTGTGTGTCTCCGATCAGCCTCTACAGGATTCCTGAAAGCTTCACACACGTGACGGGGGCGATACCGATAGGACTTTACTGCTGCCTTCAGGAAACAGTAGATTTAGAACAACTAGGATTTCATTGTTGACGAAAAGATGGAGTTTTCCAACAATAATCGTGTGAGGCCGGGTCATCACGTGCGGATGGCGAACTCAGATGATCTCGAGTCTCCATGCGTTGGCTTGTTGGCTGGAGCAGTAAGAGACTTGTAGAGCTGCACGCGGGGTGTCATGGGCAACGGAAAGAGAGCTCACTGCCTTCACCTGCATCTCTTCCACAATCTTCTGCAGGAGCTCTAGTTGCCTTCCCTGCGGGGCTTTCTTGATTGCAGTCACTTGCTCCTCCTCCTCCTCCTCCTCCTCCTCCTCCACGAATTGCTTCAGTCGTGTCAGACGCCGCCAACAGCGATGCAGGTGCCTCACCAGTCCCCCGTTCCTCGCCACCTTCCCTACGGAGATCTTGTCCCTCTCCCGTAGCTCCGAGGGGATGGCGAGGAAGAGCTCGTCGACGGTTGCTTGCGGCTTGACCTTGACCAGCTGCAACGCTGCCTGCGAGGCAAGGCCGTGAGCTGACCTTCTCCTTCCCTAGTGCTTGTTCTCTCCATCCGCATCCTCCCTTGCTCTGATCCATCTCCTCCTCCTCCTCCACTACCACCATGGGGATCACCACCACCACCTTCTCCTCTTCCTCCCTTCCTCCGACTCGCACCTCCAGCACGATCTCGTCCCGTGCGGCATCGAAGGAGAAGAGGTGGCGGGAGATTTGCACCATGTCGCTGGCGATGGAGGGGATCGAATCTTCATCCCCGCCGTACTTTTGCACAGTCGCGTCCTTGGCTTCCATGTAGGAGTCAACCTGCGCGGGGATCAGGCGGAAGCATGCCAGCCGCTCGAGTCGAGGGAGACCAAGATGGCGAGAAGAACGTTGAGGAGGATGATGAAGATGAGGAACATGAAGGCGATGTAGAAGATGACTGCCATCTTGCCGTCTACGTACGCCATCGTTGCGTAGCGGTCGAGCCCGGCTCCGAGCATCCTGCGATCTGAGGTGAGCAAGAGGAAAGAGAAGCGCTGAGGATACATCATCCATCCCGTTCCGAGCGCGTCGCCGAGGGTCGCAAAGATCTTCATCTGAGGCCCGAAGAGAACATGGGACATGACGGCGAAGCCGAAGAGACAGGTGATGAACATAAGGAGGAAGTGATAAAGGTCGGGGATGGAAGTCTCGATGGTGTTGTTGATGATGGCCAGCCTTGGCTGGAAGCGATAGAACTTGAAGCAGCGGAGGAGGGACCTGCATCCATCAAGCTGTCAGAGACAGAGATAGGGCAAGGGAAGAGAGGAGAGGAGAGGAGAGGAGAGGAGAGGAGAGGAGAGGAGAGGAGAGGAGAGGAGAGGAGAGGAGAGGAGAGGAGAGGAGAGGAGAGGAGAGGAGAGGAGAGGAGAGGAGAGGAGAGGAGAGGAGAGGAGATCACAAGAGAATGTTGAAAAAGTTGCCGAAGAGCTGCATTCTGATGATTGCAGAGGCTCGCTCTAGAATGAGCTCGTATCGGTTGGTGGGAACCTTGCAACTCCCAGTCACAAAGGCAGACACAGGGTGAGGTGACCACCTTGATGACATTGTTCTCATGCGTGATCATCTGGATCAAACTGATGCGGAGAACGATGTAGTAGACAAAGAGGATGTAGTTGAGAGCGTCTACAAGAGTCCACTTGTCTGTCAGGAAGGCTAAAAGCCCTCCTTCGCTGATCTCCTTTCCATTCTCGTCTTCCTTGACAATCCCTGACCATCCTTGCGTGATGAAAACCTCGGCAGCAGTCCTGCGCGCAAGCACAATCACGGCTCATTTCTTCGAATTGCCTGTACCGGAGGAGAACAGCAATGTTGTTGAAGATCCAAACAAGGAGAACAATCTCCAAGGCCTGGCAGGGAGTGAGTGGAGGAGGCAGAACAAGCTCCCGTTACGAGTCTGATGGTGTCGCTCTTGGACCCTGGCGTGCAGAGGTTGCAGGTCTTGTCAAGCTGGGTGGAATTGTTGCACTTGTCGAGCTCCTCGACCGTCTTGAGGCATCCGTGAGTTTGCGCGATCCGATACGGCTCCATGTTGATGGACTGGTGACTCAGCTCGTTAGCAGATGGAGAGGAGGAGGCGGGAGAGGAGGAGGAGAAGGAGGAGGAGGAGTAGGAGACTGATATCTGCGGCTGACCTTAATGTCGACCATGGTGCCTCCTTTGGTGTTGAAGGGAAGGAACGTCCCCGACACTGAGAACCCGAATCGAATCTTGACGAAGGTGAACATGTGCAGCATCCCGTTGTAGACGGCGAAGCTGATCTCTACCTTGCGGGTGAACCTGTCAGCTGGACATCAGCTCCTCGGGAGGTGAGTGGGAGTTCGAGTCTACGTATCAAGCCATCGGTAGTCTTGTAGGAACTGAACTTTCTGCTGGTTGCGAGCAGGGCCGTCAGCCAGGGCTAGGAAGGTCTTGTAGCCGCCATTCTCATATTGGGGTGAAATCACCCCGCTGCTGCTGGACCAAAAGCCCAGCGAATTAGGAGCTGAGGTTGCGTTGGGGACTTCATAGGTAAAGCTCTTCCAGAAGCCGGGAAAGTTCGGATCGTCCCTTGTAGCGTTGACGTCATGAGGAGACGTTGGAGGGCAGCTGAGTCGCACAAGATCACGACAGGTTTCACCTGCAGGAAAAGATGAACATCGTACCTTTGATCCGGAACGATGTTGCGGTATTCATCCAGTTTGACTGTCCAAGGAACATTCTCATACTGGACCCGTTGCTCCTTTGGAACGATGGTTTCCATCGGGGTCTGATCATAGCAAATCGGGTAGAAGTTGTTGTAGGAGCTGGTGCAGTTGTCTTTGAGCTCCCCGTCCACGAGCTTCGAGCAGTTGTACATCGGCGCTTTGCAGAATTTCTTTGGGAATTGAAGAAGAAAGAAATGAGGCTGTTGACAGCAAGCATACTAAAAGATCTCCTCCTCCTCTTACCTTCACCAACCCTCGTTGCTGATTGATCAGCAGCCCTCCGACGAGCTTGTTGTAGCTCAACAGGTAGCCGCTCTCGTTGGTGTTGTAAGCGTCGCCGTTGTACCAGGACTCCGGGAACACGTTGGGCATGATTTGGTTTTGAAGACTGTCAGGTTGAGGTCAGAGCAAGGCAAGGAGATCACACGCCAATCACTAGTTGAAGAAATCTCCAAACGTCGACACATCCTGAAGAGAATTTGATTCGTCGACTACAGCCTCTCGAAGGGCATTGTCTATCATGTATACTTTGCTAATCTGAACACGTGGGGCGTCAGGATACTTGTGGGGTGTTCCAGAACAAACCTCCAACTGCTGGATGAGAACATAGAGATAGAGTGCAAAGAATGCGAAGAACAAGAACATGTCCAGGTATCCCTGGAAAGGGGATCATTCATCCCATCAGGGCGCCAAACTTTAGCCGTACCTTCCATACTTTGCTCCAAGACTTCAAATCAGCAATTGTCGCCTCCAAGTCCACCAGCATCGCCCCTTCCTCAGTTTGCTCGTCATGCTTCGGATCCGCATTTGAAGGAACCACTGGATGCTTTCCCATCGCTAGATCCTCAGGTCTTGTGCCACCTTCACCACCTCGAGGAATCCGAGTCAACAACGTCTCAGCCATCTCGCCGTCATCAACTCCTTCCCCCACCCTTCTCCCTCGGTCTTCTAGACCTTCTAAGACTCGGTCAGATCTCTTCTCACTGCTAAAGCCTCTCTCCCCTCCCTCCCTCTGCCCTCCGCCGATGCTCTACACCTTGCCCTCATACTCCCAACCCTCTCCTCACTCCGCTCTGCTGCTCCTGCTGCTGCTGCTGCTGCCCCAGCTCCTCCTCCTCCTCCTCCTCCTCCTCCTCCTCCTCCTCCTGCTCCTCCTCCTGCTCCTCCTCCTCCTGCTCCTCCTCCTGCTCCTCCTTCTGCTCTATCTTCCTCCTCTCTTCCCTCTACCTCCCTCCCCCTTCATCGCTCTTCGTCCATCACCTTTCATGCGCAACCTGCTGTTCTCCACCCCACCCACAAAAGTCACCACCCCCCAAGAGACAAAATGCCATTTGCAACCTGCGATGTTCTTTTCCCCTTACTTTCAGCATTTCATATATGTCTTCTCAATTAACTATGATATAGCCCAAACGTTCACAATCTCAGACACAAGTGACGTACAAGAACCCCTCTAAATCTACCTTCCCATGACCCCCCACCCCCCCTCAGGATTCTTACAACGACTCACTGATACAGTTTGCACCAGTAGGAGACCAAAGAGAAAGTCACCTCGAGTATGACTGACTGACTGACTGACTGACTGACTGACTGACTGACTGACTGACTGACTGACTGACTGACTGACTGACTGACTGACTGACTGACTGGCTGACTGACTGACTGACTGACTGACTGACTGACTGACTGACTGACTGACTGACTGACTGACTGACTGACTGACTGACTGACTGACCGACCGACTGACCGACCGACTGACTGACGGATCGACCGACCGACCAACCGACCGACTACTGAGGAGAAGGCAGGCAGGCAGGCAGGCAGGCAGGCAGGCAAGAAAGCAAGAGAAAGGCAGTGTATAGGCAGTCATCCAGCCAGCCAGCCAGCCAGCCAGCCAGCCAAGCAGAGGCAGGCAGGCGGGTTAGAGGTACTGAGGCACAACAGATTATACAGGCAGAGGGCCCAAAGGGAAGTGGGTCTGACATTCAGTCAGACAGAGGGGGAGCGACAGACAAAGATTGTTCCAATGAAGGTGAAAGAGGATGAATAGGTTAAAGAAATGAAGCGGATGAGGATGCCAAGCGTTGGATGCAAGGGAGCAGGAACCATAACAAGGAGGACTCGGGTTCTATACAAAGCGTATTGGGAGGCGATCAGGTAGGATACAGCAGCGAACAACCAGATGTCAAGTACTCTTATACGAACCATCCGTGTGATCTTAGCATGCAAGACTCAAGTTTAATGAGAAAAGCTCCAAAACCAGCAGCATTGCAGCAACACAAGTATGGAATGCAAGTCGTGTACCCAGTACGATCAGCAGAAGGAGCTTTTCCAGTGAGGTATTGCACGAGATGAAATTCACATACAGAGATAGTGATCTTCATCTATCAGTCCCTTCATGTTTCACTGCTCGTGTACAACCTGCAAAGCGGTGGGGACTGTGGATAGTATATGAACTTGCAACATGTGATCAGTTGTTCAACCTAATAATCCAATGAATGCCAATTATTCATCGAAAGCGCTTACAACGCCATATATTAGCTTCAAAAGGTGCACACGGATTTACATTTCACCAACAAGGTCAAATTGTTTTAGCACACCATTTCTTACAACTCAACGACACAAACTTGAAATCTCACCCTACGGCATTTACTACAATCTACAAAATCCACACTATCGTTTCTTCTGTCCAACTCAACTTATCACCTGTCCGAAGACGCAATCAATTTCTCATGATGCTGTCTCGCAAGACAAGGAAGTGTAATCCCAACTTCAAACCTCGATGCTGTCCTCGCAGCTGATATACCACTCTATCCATTCTCTGTTGATTGGTCTCCAATGGAACTCATCAGATTCCAAAGCTGTAGCAGATGTAGACTCTTCGCTCCCTGTTGCGCGCAAACTTTTGCAGAAATCAAAGGATGCACTGGTGCAGGATAATGCTGCGCATTCGCTCTGCTCTGATTTGCTGTCGATAGTCACCAAATTTCTCCTTCCCGCGATTTCAGCTGGCGTCTTTATTGAAGGGCATTTGGACAAGTCTTTGTCAGTCTTCTTCTTTCTTGAACATCTCCGGTCTTTCTTCTTGCGCTGATAAGGCCATCTTGTTACGCCCAGCTTGCGACAGAGTTGTTTCAATGCAGTAAGAGAGATTCCAAGAGCAACACTTGCTTTATTTTGTGGAAGGTGAAAGTATTTTTCCAGAACAGCAAGATCGATTGCAATGGGCCTCCTCCCTTTGTGCGGAGTGACCTTTTGCCCAAGTTTTCTCCTTGGGAACAGGAAGATCTGTCTGTCTGAGGCGGTTTGAGAATGTGATCTATTCATGAAGCTGATATCCAAAAGATACAAGGAAACAGGAGGAGCGGGAGGAGCAGGGGGAGCAGGGGGAGCAGGAGGAGCAGGAGGAGCAGGAGGAGCAGGAGGAGCAGGAGGAGCAGGAGGAGCAGGAGCAAGGAGTTTCAGGTGCAGAGGCGCGGGGTACTCCACAGGTCGACAGTACAAGAGGGAGGTAGGGGTCATGTAATCTAGATACGAAAAGATGAGTTTTCCCAGGACTCTTCTGTGAACAGATTTACTACATCATGTCAGCAGATTGCAGAAGCCTTTCAAAAGCCATCAAAAGGAGGGGTAGAAAGAAAAACTGGTACCGGAATGGAGTCCAAACAACTCGATTTCATAAGTGGCTCAGCACATGTGACAGCTCTCAACGAACATCTCCCCTTCGGCGAAGTATCCCTGCCGAGGGGGTGGGTCCTCAAATCGTTCCCTCGGACGGAAGGTAGGTCCGATCATCTACGGGGGCAGGTCGGGCACATGAATACAGGTGTCACGCGTTGCTGACGGTGGTTACCTGTCACGAGGGCAGCAGGACGGCGTCACGGTAACGGCTGTTAGTCGCATCTAGACATGAAGGGGAGCCGGGCCCGGGGGGTAGTACCCTCATGAGGTCAGCTGAGGGGGTGGAGGCCCATGACAGTGATGTCAGTGAAGCAGTGTGGTAGTATAACAGGCAAGTAACACAAAGTAACACGGTACAACAAAACTATCCGAAGGGTTAGTGCGGCGTACCCGTCGGTCACCGTCGAACGGCCTCATCGAACGGTCAACTAAGTCGATCTGTGACTCGCCTCGGACAGGCTGCCTCGATGACTCGGTGAGTCTGTGACCTGCTGTGAATCGCAGGAGAGGCTTCTAGAACTTCTAGTTCCGGACTACTGTTGTTTGTTCCTTAACGGCATAGTCCGAACTGTTTGAATATTGAACCCGGCAAGCACCGTAGCCTACCGTCGTACCGGCCGGGCCGGGGCGCGGCGGGCCGGGTGATTTCGGCGGACTACAGGCCCTGTGTCCCAAGAGGCTCCCAGTACTACGGTAAGGTTCTGACTCTGAGTCACGCGGCAGGATCCGCTTCGGACTTCTGACATGCTGGGGGGACAATCTCTCTCTGCAGCTTCTCCTCCGCAGGATGACATTGCCTCCTCGGGTAGGTCGGCAGGGGGTTCGGGGAACCGAAGACCTCGGAAGCAGGCAAGATTTCATCGACCCCCCGGAGGCACCCAGCGGACTCCGAGGCTCCCATCGATCAGCCTACAGTCAGCCCCACACCTCCACCGCCTCCTCCTCAACCGGCCGATCCTTTCCCGTCGGAGGACCCTGGTTCGGATTTCCGCGCAGCCCTCTTTGACAACCTGCGTACACAAGACATGCCTTGTGGTACATGGAATTGGCACAGAGCTCTCCCTCTCTTTGCTCAAAAGTGTCCACATAAACTTCTAGAACTGCTGGCTCGCAATCCTTCCATTACCGTACAACCATCAAACACCTCAATCGCCAGACGATTCATAAGTGGAAGAGTGCGCTACAGTTTACGCTAGACCTGCTGCACGGTTACCCGGACCTGCATTGCGAGCCTCCGAGGAGCTAAGATTATCCGGAGCTTGTGGCATGTCTCCCACTGAGTCTCCTGCTGAGAGTGAAACCAGTCCTTGCAACCTCGGACAAAACCGAGATGTGAGCTACCGTATCCATCATTTCCTCCAACTTGAGGGAGATCAGTGGAAGACCCTGCTGAAACTAGATGAGGGTGTTTCTGTTGACCAAGATGGCCAAGCGGTTTTCAGCAGTGGAGGTCAACAGGATGTCACACAGCAGTCCACGGCAGGATCAACTGGGACAGGGCGAGTTACGAGACAGCGGGCATCGCAAGGTAAACCGGCCAACAACCTAATCGGCAAAGTTCAGGCCGCTCACACTCTGGGCCGGGCCATGCGCCGGAGTGAGGGGGTACAGCAGCCAGCGATGGAGAGCGAGCAGTTGGAGAAGAAGAAAATCCTCTCGGCTGTTGAGCAATGCCAAAATAGGGATATGAAGAAAGCTAGACAGGCGCTTGTAGGTCATGGCCTGTCTCCAGATCCATTTGAGCAGCTACAGTGGCAGCAAACTCGTGAGAAATTTCCGACGAGACTGGACCTCATTCCATCGACCATCCTGGACAAAGTAGGCTCCTCAAGGCAAATGCCTGAGTGCTCAGGACGATGCCATCGCCCATGACCCGGTCACCGCCTCCGAAGTTGCTTGACTCTGACAACACATGATCAGCAAGAGGTGATAGGGAAATTCCTGCGGCGATCCACTGCCTCCTCAGGCCCTGATCAATTTGGTTGGCGACCGTTCCAGCACCTGCGACAACTTCCGTAGTAAGACTGCCTGATGATCAAGAACGCGATACATTGACCTCATCTTGTCAGCCGAGCCTCTGTGTGTAGCCGCGATGATCTTTTGTCGGTTCTACCGAAATCTTGCGGGCCTTTGGAGAGCCACTTCTTCCTCAGTCACTCTCGGGTCCGACTGGCCGAGTCAGCCAGCGGAGCACTGCGGCAATCAGTTTGCATCATGCCGGCCCGGTCTCACTGAGTCACTGAGGACTCAGAAAACGGTTGCGGCCAAGTAAGTTGGCAAATTCTATTATGACGCCAGTAGGTTATTTCTGAAACATCGTGGCAGCAAGAGACGGGTGACTGTGACTTGAAAAGTTTGTCACCGGGCCGCCCGGCCCGGTTGCCCATAATTGCCACTCAGTGAGCCTGCCAGTCACAGTGATGATCCGCGGCCGGGCGCGGCCGGCCCGGGGCCGATCGGATGCCCAGCGGGCCCCGGCCCGCACGCCGGCCCAGCATATGCATTTCAAATGTCATCGTGTAGAGTTGAAATATATGAGGTGCATATTTCAAATTATATTTCATTGGATCGTAGTGCTTGATCACGCGGGCAATGGGCGAGGAGAGGGTCAGAGGAGTGCGGTGGAGTCAGCAGGACAAGAAGCGCGATGTACATAGCAAGATGATACACTGAAAGAGACTTAAGAATACATGACATTGAGAAAAGTTGTAGCCAGACGATGTTGGGCACAAAGTGTAGTGAATGAAATCTTTGAGGATTCGGGGGGGGGAGAGTTGGTTTGCCGAAGCTCAGGCTCGAGATGCAAGAAAGAATTCCTCAGGCCCGTTCCTGTGGTGAATGGAGAGTTGGTAGCAGTTTGCTATGAATATGCATGGCTGTCACGTATTGACGGTTGCTTTCTTACATCGCCCTTATCAGAGATGGAGGGAGCAGAGACTCAGACGCCGCTGGTGTGTCCTGGACACACGCGTGGAGTAGTTCAGGTTTCATTCAGGTGATGTCTTGATCTGTGATCATGATGTCTGAGAGATGGTCCAGTCATCCCACCCCCGATGGCGTCTTTCTTATCTCTGCTTGTCTGGACGGCAAGCCAATGTATGAACACATCACTCTCCTGCCCGTGTTCAACTTGATGAAACAGGCTTCGACGAGGAGACACGGGGGACTGGGTCGGGACTTTCGAAGGACACAAGGGAGCAGTGTGGTCAGCTCGCTTGGACAGACCGGCACTGAGAGCTGCGACGGGATCTGCAGGTTCAGCAACATGCCAATACGATGTGGAGACCTGACTTGCTTAACAGACTTTTCTGCTCGGCTGTGGGATGTAGGACTTGAGATTGTCCTTCTCTTGACGTGTTCACGAGTCGTTGCAGGCGCTGACGGGCGATCAGCTCCATGACTTCAACTGTGGGCATGTCGTCAAGTCTGTGGACTTCTCCCCTGATAGGTAGGGGAGAGGGGAGCGAAGCAACCAGTTGACGGTACTGTCAACAGCCACCAGCTCCTCTGCTCAGGAAAATTCAAGAAGTTGAAAGTCTTCGACCTTGAGAAGCTCGCTCCCGTAGCAGAGGTCTGGCGCTTCAGCGCTTGCGAGGTTGTCATCTGACCCTGTGCAGCTGGAGGGACACACTGTGGGCGTCAAATCTGCTCTGTTCCTTCCCTGTGGCACAAAGGTGAGGTGGATGAGGAGGAGGGCTGATTTTCACGGCAAGGGCAGGCGATCAGCGGCGGAGAGGACAAGACGCTGCGAGTGTGGGACCTCAAGAGCAACACACAGATCAAAACCGTAGAGGTGCAGAAGGAGATCACAAGGTTGAGCATGAAGCAGCCTTGCTTGAGTCATCTATCATCATCTACTTCGCTCACTCCGCTGATAGCATGCAACTCTCTTACGACGGAGAGATTGTGACTGTCACCGCGGGAACGCAGGTTCATTTCTGGGGAACAAAGGTGAGGGATAGAAGGAACACTCACGGCCCTTCCGTGAGACCATGCTAGGAACTTGATATGATCAAGAGCTTGGACTGTCCTATCGTGAACCCAACACTAGGAGGAAGTGCCAAAGTGAAGGTGGGATCTACTCAGTCAGTAGAGCCTCGCGTGACGGGGAGCAGGATATTACTTCAGCATCTTTATCGCCAGACAGGAGACGCTTCATTGCTGGAGGTCCTGCTGATCAGGTCTCCTTCACTCCCACTCCGTTGAAAATGATGAGACTTGAAGGCTTGGCCGGATCCCTGGGTCCACGTGTTCAACTTCGAGAACGGGGTGAGGAGGCGGTGACCTGATTCGGAGGCGGCCAGTGAGCGTGAGGGCAGGAGGAGATCGAATGCAACAAGGGTCATCACGGGCATGTGTGGGACGTTGCTTTCGGTGCGTGAGCTCAACGAGGGAGATTGAGGAGGGGGGAGGGAAGAGGAGGAAGGAGGAGTTTTGGTGATGCTCTCCACGGCAGCACCGGACGGAGAGACATACGCGAGCGGTGCGGATGATGGAACCATCAGGATCTGGACGGTGAGTTGAGAGAGCAGAGTTGAGGTCAAAGGAGGAGAGATGAATTTGTGACCCGAGGACAGACGGAGCCTGGCAAGCATGACGATTCAAAGACCTCGAGCGAGTGACGAAGATCGCATTGGAACGAAGATTTCATTGAATAAACTTTCCCGCTATTGTCACTAGGAAACAGAGATTGAACATGTTGCCATCGCATCAAATTTTCAATCCCTAATGTTCTATGGGTGGATGCAGGGATGTTGCAAAAGAGCAAGATTTCAGTTAAGATTGCATACCTTGACTGAAGTGCTCCAGACATGTTGTTGTGCATGAGGCAGGGTGTGAGAATTGCGATCACTTGTAAATTGATGATACAATTTATTACAACGCCCTGCGCTAAGTTTACTCGTAGAGGGACTTGGTGTAGGTGGCGGTGGCAGCGACGTAGGCGTCACGGGCAGCCTTGTAGGGGCCGGTGGCGAGCTTGAGCTCGTTGGCAGCCTTCAAGTAGGCATCGCGGGTGGCGCGGTAGGTGGTGGCGTAATCCTCAAGATCGAAGAGAAGGGCGAACATCCTACAACAACCAAGTGAGTGAAGCTACCAACAACCAAACTTCACAACACACATACAGAGTGCAACACTAGAGATCACTGCAGGAACACTGGGGAAGAGAGCCACAAGAGCATCAACATCTCAAGTTTTCATCGCCTGACATAGTGCATGAAAGCTTTCGTGCATTCGTGGCTTCACCTTAGCTGCTTGATTGCCCGTTCGCCTGCTCTCAAGTTTTATATGCCTAGGTAGAAGTTAAAGATTCTACCGACAAGACCCTAACAGTTCCACAAATACTACAATTTGGAAAGACATTATGCTCATGGTTTGAAATTATCAAAAGTATGTATGTTTATTGGTGAAAATAATTGCAAATAGAGGAAACATTATTGACCCACCCTCTTCACGACCCTGCGTGGATGGGAGGGGATTATACCCTAGCATCATTGAAGACCACCCCATCCAAGCATTGTTCTATATTGGACAAAAACGAATATACCCCTCCATTTAGCATTAAAAATACCGGTGTGAATGGAACGCAAAGACCCTACCCCAGAAGAAATCAGTTACTACCCCACCATCCGTTCTTCAGGGGTTTCACTACCCCCTCTGTTCTGCCTCTTCGTGGTGTCTTTTCGATGGATGGAACAAGGGGTGGGTTGGCAGGTCCATGAGGGAAACAAGAGGGTGGGGTAGGTAAAGTAACCCAAATTGAGCAATCCACTATAAAGATAGGGGTGGTTTGTAAGGGATGTTGGTGGGTGCATGACCCCAAGTTGTGCTCCTGACCAAACTTGGTGGGAAAGTAGGAGGTGGGGGTAGTAAAGCCAGGGGTAGATTAAAGCTGGCTCTTGCGAAGGGTCAGCAAGACGAAAAGGTGAGCATGGCGAAATGTGTACCTGAGGGAAGCGGCATGGCAATTGGAGAACGTTTGAAGAGCGATCATGATGATGAGAAGGTTTAGAAGAAGAGATATGTAGGAGCAGATCAATGTACACAAAGGTAAACGAGTAGAATAGTTGTATGAAGGGAAAAGAGAATCATGTGAAGAGTGTTTGGAACTTGGAGCCGACTCTTTCTGGAGGAGAAAGGTTGCATTGCATCGTTCTTTCCGGTCGTCTTCCATATCTCTGTTTCATCTGCATGTAAGGCAAACACAATGTTGAATATAGTTGTGGTGAGATCAGGATAGCTCTTTCAAGTACATCATCCATGGACAGTACATGACCGATTCTGATGGTTTCTTTCAGAAGTCGAAATGTTCACTACCCTCTGGATGTGGCGTCAGGAGTATCAGCACGTGAGTTTTTCCACTTCGTTGTCTGTTCTCTCCTCACTTCTCCCTCCAGCATGAGCAGCTCCCACTTGCCTTCAACGGCACCTGGCCTTCCTGGAACTCTGACCTTGACAACCGCCCATGGTAAGCGGCTGTTCGTCTGGTCTCCCGTATCGTAGGGATGAGACTTGTTTGATGGATGAAGTACTAGTTTATTGATTGAAGTCTTATTCTGAAACATGCTCCTCCTCTTCTTAAAGGTCCTCTAGTGGGCCTTGTTCTGCTCCACCATCACCTCCATGCACACCCCCGCTCCTCCTCACCTGAGTGTCGAACTCCTCGAGCATCGCCGTGTTGTGCCGGCGACTGTCGAAGCCCCACGGGATGTCGCCGGATGACTTGGGAATCTGGTTGAAGTGAGGACAAGGTAGAGAGGAGGGAGGAATTACCGGTAGATCATCCTCGACAACGTCAGCGAGCCTGATCGGCTTCTCGACTTCGACATGCTCCTCTTCAGATCCTTGCAATCGTCATCTTCTCCCGCACATGTTCCTCTTGTCTCACCGAACTTGTCCTGGTAAACGCTCATGGTCGAATCTATGGTCTGCCATATGCGCGCTAGTGGGTGCGTTAGCAGTTTGTGTGCAAAACAAACAAGCAAACCGATTTCAGTGCGAGCCGCGTACAACTGATGCATGTTCCCCTGCTCCAACGAGCTCTGAGCACCTTCGATCTTGCCCTTGAGCCTGCAGAGAACGGTGGGGTGAGGGAAACAGTGAAGGGGGAGAAAGGGAGCCGTCCTACCCTGCAAAGGCGATCTTCAGCGCCATGGTGAGACGAGCAACATCAGCATCATCCTTGTTCTCGGCCTGACATGCAGGAAGAGGAGGAGCTGCTGCTGCTGCAAGAGGAGGAGGCTCATCTCTCCGATTGCGCTCTTCCATCTCCTCCACAAGATGTGTCACGGAAGTCAGATCTCCGTCCTCCTCCTCCTCCTCCCGCAGTCTAGCAAGCTCATCTCCCAGGTTCCTGCCACATGCGTCAGCCTGCAGGAGGGGCTTCGCAGCACCTACAGCAGCTCGCTCGGCGACACGTCCTCAGCCTTCTCCTCCTCCATCCAGGAATGCGAACCGAACGCCCCGAGCATCTTGCATGCCGGTGAGGACTGATGGATCATCTCCTCCTCCTCACCTGGGTCTGACGTTGGCTCCAACCCACAGGTAGTACGCAGGTGTCCACACCTAGACCTCCCCCGCTCCTCTCCTCCAACCTGTGCCGGCAGTGAACCTCTCACTGCGCAGTCCGCGTGCATGCTCACGTGCTCGCAGCGACGGGCTGTTGTCTGCTCTTGATGAGGAGCCGCTGAACGAACCTATAGAGCTTCGACCCGATCCTCTCGCCCCCCTCCTCCTCCAGCAGCTTCCCTTGGAAGCTCTCCAGACATCCCTGCGACATGTAGAGCACGCGCGTTGCCCAACCGGACATGCCATCGAGGATGTGCGTACAGTAGATGACAGTGACGCCTCTGTGAGATGTGAGCCAAGACAAGGATGGGGACGGGGAGGAGGACGGGGACGGGGTCGGGGTCGAGGACGGGGACGAGGACGGGGACGGGGACGGGGATGAGGATGAGGACCAGGACCAGGACGAGGACAAGGACAAGGACAAGGACAAGGACAAGGACAAGGACAAGGACGAGGACGAGGAGGATCTGCAGTTGTCGTCACCTCTCGACGCTCTCTGACTTGAGAAAGGCTGCGGCAGAGGTCAGACCGTCTCCTCCAGTTGGCTCGCACCTAGAAGCGCCGCTCGCCCGAGCACGTCCAAGTCCACTGTGGCCTCGTCCAAGAGCATGACCTCGCAGGGATACGCGAGCTTCAGCGCCAGCTGCATCCTCCGCAGTTGCCCGTCTGAGATCTGGACAAGAACATGAGCGAGGAGTGAGGGAGCAGCAGAGAGTAAAGGCATGGGGGAGCGAAGGGCGTCAGGTCTGGAGGGCAGGGGCGAAGGAGTACCTCATTTGGCTTCCACGAGCTCTCGACTTGGAGGATCTTAGCGAGGCGTTGAAGGCGAGATGCGACCTGAGCGGCAGCGTCAAGTCTGTCCCCCTCCTCTCTCGGTCTTCACTGGTGACCTCCTCCGTCCTCGACCCGCAGTCTTGCAGGAGACTGCGGCAGAGCTCCTCGAAGCTCACAGACCCTCCTGCTCCGCATGTCCTCAGTGTTGATCGCCACTCCTGCGAAAGCAGCACGAGCTTCGAGCTCAGCTTCCTGTAGTCCTCGAACGCTCGGCAGCCAAGGAGGAGGACGCAGTCAGGAGGAGAGACGAGCCGTTGACCCGCCAGGATGCTCAGCAGCGTTGACTTCCCTGCCCCGTTGGCTCCTGCGAGCAAGACACGCTCCCCTTGCTTGCACGTGAAGGAAACGCGGCTGAGGATGGGAGGGCGGGATCGGTGGTAGCCCCATTCCAACTCGCTCGCCTGCATGCTGACCGGGGCATCCTCTCGTGCCATCGGAACGTCTGCCACCGCCTCCTCCTCGCTCGCAACTCCTGCCTCCTCTCCCAGCCATCTCGAGACGAGCGCAAAGAACCCAGGAGCGTCCGAGTTGGGCTGCAGCTCGGGGACATCTCGGCAGGGAAGCATGCGAAGGAGAGAGCCGTCGGCGAGGTGGGCGAGGTGGGAGGCCCAGCCCTCGAGCCCGTCGAAGATGTGAGTGCAGTAGACAACGCACGCCCTCTTGTCCAGGCTTTCCAGCAGCAGGAAACCCAACAGGTTCCTGCGGACGATGAGGTCAAGGTCTGTGGTGGCCTCGTCGAGGAGGATGAGGCGGCTGGGGCGCATCAGCTTCATCGTCAGCTGCACCCGACGCTTCTGCCCCTCGGAGATGCTGGAGAACCTCCAGTCCTCCTCGACCCCCAGCAGAGCCTTGAGCCTCCCCATCCTCTCCCTCACCTCCTCCTGCTCCTCCTCCCTGCTGCTCGCCGCGATGTTCTCCAGTACGTCACCCACCCTCATCGACACCTTCATCACCTCCGATGCCAGCCAGTCGGAGGTGACAATACACACCTCCTCCTGCACGCTCGTCGTTCTGAACGGATCCTTGCCGTACACGAAGATCGACTGCTGCGCTGCCATCCTCCTCCCTGCGATGAGAGAGAGGAGGGTAGATTTGCCTGCTCCATTCCTTCCCACCAGCACCAGACGCGATGCCGGGGGGATGCGGAAGCTGATGTCTTTCAGGATGTCCTCCTGCTTGTTGTAGGAGAACGACAAGCGGTTGATAACAACAGGATGGTCTTCCAACTTGAGCCCCATCCCCAACTCAGTACTGGTGATGATTCCCCGCCAACTGCGAGAAACAAAGAAATGAGAACAAGGAGCAGGAGCGGGAAAGAAGGAAGGATGTGTATATGTCAGTGCATTTTCAATAGATTTTCTTGTTCAATGTGCCTAATCCTCCTTTTCTCCCTGCATCTCATTCTTCGTCAAGACACGCATCTCTCTCCGTCTTGTCCCTCCTCTCTCTTCTCCATCTTCCCATCATACTCCTCCTTCCGTCTCCCTCTCCGTTCTCCCTCTCCCTCTCCGTTCTCCCTCTCCCTCTCCGTTCTCCCTCTCCCTCTCCGTTCTCCCTCTCCCTCTCCGTTCTCCCTCGGGGGTCTCCGTTCTCCCTCTCCCTCTCGGTGAACGACTCTCCCTCTCTCTCCCCGGCCTCCCTCTCCGTC